AGTAAATTTTTCAAGAATTTTAAATTTTAAATTTCGTGTTTTTATTTTTAAATTAATTAAAATTTCAAAATTTATTAAAATTGACTTCAACAGTTTTTGAAATTCGATTTTTGTTCGCAAATGAGAAGCTACGAAAAAGGCATCTGTAAGTGAAGTCACTGAATCAATTAATTTTCTTATAGAGATAAGGACTTTTTTGGTGTCTCTCTCTCCGTCTTGTCCTCTTTCTCTTCCTCTTGAATTAATGATGTCCTTCTTTTCACTATATGTGCGAATAGGGGCGGAGAAAAAAGAAAAAAAAAAGTTATCTCTTTATACATTTTTCTTTCTCTTACTCTTCCTCTCGCTCTATGTATATACCTATTTAATGGAAACATATATGATAAAAGCTATCACCAAAAATAGATGATGACGAAATATTGATTAATGAGATGATTGATAATGTTTGTTTTGTGAGAAACGATCAAGTTGTTATGAAATAGTATGGGGGAAAAGGATTTTATAAAGATTGAATTGTGTCAGACTATTATGTTGCTCTAAGAAGAAATGTCATTGATTTGGATTCAAGTATCTATGAAGAGCAATAAAAGATGTTGCATATTCATTATTACAATTAAGGAAGAGAGAGAAATTTTATGTGAACCACAATATTATAGAGTCGAATGTAGCATTAAGATAAAAATGAAGTTAAAACATTTCTGCATGGTGCTAGTTGAATAAAATGTCGCGTCTATATTGTTGTAAAGACAAAAAAATTGAATCATGTTTCAACTTTATTATTAGTGCGCATCTCTTACTGAAACAACACATCAAAATCAACAATTCTTGGAACATCTAAGAGAATTTTTAAATCAACACCATAAGAATATTTCTCTTACATACGCTCATGATCCTAATTCAACATGTTGTTCTGATGACATCGTAGCTATTCAAGTTCTATGCAAACGTGTGGAGTCATCTAATTGCATAAACAATCAAAACAACATCTGCTCAAATATTTATGTATCAAATACTGTAAGCTGATTATAAAGTGTCAAAATCACATCTATCTCATTTTTAGGTCGAAATTCAACAATCCAATACTGAAACAAGTACAAGAAACAATCCACATGATCTCCAATTAGAACCAGTAATAACTAATAATCGAGATCTTGATTACGTCGAATTTATCTTTCATAACTCTGCTTTATTTTTTTTCTTTACCTAGAATGAAGACAACGCATCATCAAATAACATTACTAATAATACAAGTGTGTCAATATCGGCTACTCCTAGTCCTCTTCATTTGTTTATGCCACCAACATCATCAGTAATTGCTCTGATAAATAATTATTTTAGCAGAATGATTGTTTTTTTTTCTAGTCATCGGTTATAAATTCACCAAAAAGTAAAGATGTTGATTCGACATCTAAGAATTCTAGCGATGTGAATCTTGTATCTCGTCTATTTGCACAAGCCAAAGTAAGAAACTCATAGTTATTTTTTTCTATTAGTAGTTCTGTGATTTTTCTATTAACGATATTCTTATAACATGTTCATAATTGTTTACTCAGAATATAAGTTACGAAAATTGTTCAAATAGAATAGAATTAATTGGTGATAATTGACTCTATTCTTATCTTACTTATGTTTTAACGATAATTTGCACTAATTTCAATGTCTTTTTTTTTCAACAATATCCATATTTTTTTCTGTTTAGAATGCTCTAAGTCCTACAAAAACAACTGATCATACTGTCATCAACGATGAACAGAAAAATGTACTTACATTTTTACAACGTCAAGATCAAGATTCGTCAACTTTTACTCGTGATATCGATGAAATTCAACAAATCGAGAGAGAAAAAGCAATTGTTATTTCTCAAAATGATATGGATAAACTTAAGCAATTTCGAGAAGATTATTTACAGAAGAAGAGTCAGAAGAACACAACAGCAGATACATTCGATGATCTTGATACACAAAACAAAAAAAGAAATCTCGAATGGATTATTGTTTTAGATCGTCATATAAAGCAATCTAATGACTATTGTGTATTCGTTTATGAACGTCACCATTTCACTAATCAAACAACCATCGGTAATACAGATCGGTTCTTCATGAGTGCTGATGCTCATTGTAAATTTGACTCATGTACATGTGAATTTCACGCTATTATAAGTGAAAATGGTCGATTAGAAGTTGATTATTCTGGCAAAATTGTACACAGAAAAGGTGAACATCATGCTCGACCAATACGTGGCTCTCGTCGTGAAGAATTACAACAATTTCCAATGCTTGGTGCTACACCAGGTGCAGTTCATCTTCAACAACTTAAATTATTGTCAGTTGATAATAAAGAAGCGGGCAATAGAAATGTAGTCGGATCTAGTCGTTCAGTAATACGTAAAATATCAAGTGAAGCTAATGTTAAATTACATCGAGACGATGATTTAGATAAAAGTCTTCGTGAATTAAAAGTTGAACAAGCAAAGAAAATTTTTCCTGGTGAAGTTATACCTGGATATTTACAAGAAATAATTACTGATCCATTTCG